CCGTACCTTTATCTCTCCCACAACCAACTCTCCGGCGAAATCCCAACTTCCCTGGCCGGAATTGACTTCAATGTCATTGATCTGTCCAGAAACAAGCTCCAAGGCGACGCCTCCATGATTTTCGGCGGGAACAAGACGACCCAGATCGTGAATTTGTCGAGGAATCTGCTGGAGTTTAATTTATCGGCGGTTGTGTTTCCGCAGAGCCTGACTTCGCTGGATCTGAATCATAACAAGATCTTTGGGGGGATTCCGCCGGAGATGACGAAGCTGAGTTTTCAGTTTATGAATGTGAGTTATAATAGGCTGTGCGGTGAGATTCCGGTGGGAGGGCAGTTGCAGAGCTTTGATGTCTATTCGTATTTTCATAACAAGTGTTTGTGTGGCGCGCCGCTTGGTAGCTGCAAATGATGGACTTCTTACCACTCACTCGTGACTCACAATCTTGATTTCAAGTTTTAAGACCATTGGAATAAAGTTTTTGTTGTGGGATTTTAAGTTGTATTTTTAAAAAATATGTGTATATATATTTAATGCAACTTGTTAATATAGAGTTTATTGAATTACAAATTTAGTCTAATCATTGGGATCTTCTGAACCTTCAAATTTAGCTCTACAAGTCTATCGAGTAACATATTTAGATATTTTTTATAGTTTCGATATTCTAAATTGACAAAATAAACTTTTAATACTGTTTTGTATTTATGTATGTAGTGTACAATCTCTAATATATAATCCTCTGATTAATTCGATTTGATTAATTCTCTCGAATGCAAACTTTAATTTAAGAGCTTGTGCGCTTGTTCTTAAATCAATGAGGTTGATGTCTCTGCTGCTTGTCGAATGATTTTTGAAGTCTTTAACTTTGAGTTTGTTGAAGACTTCGATTTGTTGATGAAGTTTCTTTAACTTGTAGTTTAATGAAGATTTTGTGAAGTCTTCGGCTTTGAGCTTATTGAATAATCCTTGAAGTCTTCAGTTTTGCAATTGTGAAGTTCTTCAGCTTTTCAGCTTGTTGAAGTTCTTCAACTTGTAGCTTGTGAAGTTCTTCAGCTTTACAACTTGTTGAA